ATTTCCTAATTTTTATGGTGGTTGCGAGATAGGTCAAATCTACCGAACCCTTACAGAGATTAATTACTGAAAATTACAGATAAAATATAGTTTTTTCTTAAGAAATGTTTGAAAACTATCCAGACATTATAAAGATTTCACATGTGAAATTTCAAAATTTTCTCATGCATAAAAGTATTTTTAATGTTAAAATGAAAATTACTTTGCATGATAGATATGCAAGATATGAAAAGAAAAGAAAAAAAGGTATGAGAGAAACATTAAAAAATTAGATATTTTGCTTATGAAAGCATTGTAATGTTTACTGATATACTGCCAAATTATGTTAACATTCACTGAATAATTTAAAAGTTATAGCATGAAAACTATAACAAGCACAAAATAGTTACAAGGTTGGTCCCAGGGACCGAGCCCAGGTTGAAAGAATTAATTGTAAATTTGAGTTTGTTAGATAATTTAGGTGTAAAAATTATGTGAAAAGAATGTTTGAATCCGTATGTTTTTATCACTTTTTTTTTTCCTGTTAATTGTTTTCAAACTTTATATCATAGGTTTGTTCTTTACTACATAATTTTTAGATGATTGCTTTACTACATAAATCCACTACTGTTTTTCCCAAATAAAATGTTAATACAAGTGGACTGCACTATTCTGCTTAATTAACATTGGTTGAGGTGTGTTAATCCTTATTTATTTTAGCAAGGACCTTAGAGGTTTATTACATTTGTTTAGAGCAGTGCTTCTCAACTGGGTGAATGGTTCACCCAGGTGTTAATGAGATCAGAATTAGGGTGAATGAGGATGATAGAGTGAATGAGTATTATCAATTATATAACAAATTCAAGAGCAAAAAAGCCGTTAGTTGTTATTATTTATTCTAATTGTAGTTTGATATCTATTTAAGTCATAATGAAAAATTTTGCATTTTAATTTAGTACTTTTTTGTCTTTTTTTGAGCTGGGATGAGAGCTATTGTGAACAACTTATTGGGGTGAATGATATTGGAAAAGTTTCAGAAGCACTGGTTTAGAGCATGGTGTTCTTCATTCTTTAAAATGACAATTTCAAATTCACATACAAAAACATACAAATTTAATTATCTTGTTAAGTCCATTAATGGAGAATAAATTTTAAGGTGCCTATGTGCATATGCATTTAGTTAAATGTTACATGTTTTCCAACAATTTACTGCAGGATTGGCATTTTTTCCACCCAACCATTATTTACTGAGCCAGGTGATTTTGTGCCTGAGGTTTCATGCAAACATGTGTGTAACAAGCATTGAGTACAAAGGAAGCTGCTCACAACAATAATAAGGCTTGGAGACACTGTTATAAACATACACATTGTTTACTCTAATAAAATGAAGCATTTCCGACTAGTATAAAATGGAGCATTTTCAACTAGTATAACGGTGCTTAAATAGCTTCTATATTTCTGCAAAGCTTGAATGGCGTCAAAGAGCTTATGACTTAGAACTTAGAAAATTTAAAGGGTAGAAATCTCAATTTTCAAGGATCAATTTTAAAATCGTCCTACAACCTTAGCAGGAGTGTGTGCATATATTTTGGGTCAGAATACATAGCTGTTTTTGATACAACTTCCATATTTGAATGGCTTTGTTGAGAAACTAGGCCAGTAGCAATGAAAGAACTGATAAAATCTCTTCTCTCTTAAGAATCAACATAAAAATAATCCTATGACCTGCACAGAAGTTTTTAGTAGGTTTGCATAAGATATTCATAGCCGTTTTTTCTGTAGGCTAGTGAAACAATAATAATATGAAGAACAAATGGATGAATTTGTCTAACAATCAGAAAATCAACTTTTTAACTATTATCAGTATTTTAACAGCCTTAGCCATTGAGATAGGAGGTCTTGAGTGTCATTTCAAGAACAAGTCTGTTTTTTAAATTGGTTTTTGTCCATATGTTCTACGATAATTTTTGTGAAATTCATTGTGATCCCTAGTATGAACCACTGTTATGGTTCATGATATATAATTCTCAACTTTCTGTTTTTTCGTTTTGTTTATAATTATTACAACTATTAACTAGTAATTGTTATACTGTGAAAGATACTTTTAGTTTTTCACAAAAAATACAACATCTGAATTTTGATAATAAGGTCTACTGTGCTAAATTTGATATAGTCTCTACAATAACATTCCATCAAATATAGATTTATGCACAGTCTTTTGTATTAAAATGAAAGCGGTGGCATAGCAAGGGTTCTCAGCACCCGGGGGCAAAGACACTTCTGGTGCCCCCACCTCTGAAATGTTTTGATTATTTGTTTTGTGACTCATTACCCACTTAATGACAATAACATAAAGAATTAATTACCGCCTTACACTACTGTAAACCTGGAACTAATGAAGTATAGCCTACTAGGTGTACTTACATAATTTGTAAACCATTTTGATATTTATGTCATCGAGTATTGTTCAAAGTCACATAGCTAGAGTAATCTTTCAAGCATGCAGAATAAATTTCTGTTATATCCCTAATTTTGAAACTTATATTTTATATGAGAAGCCAGTCACTTGTGGTGTACATGGATTATAAAACAGATTGATAAAATACTACTTAAGTTTACAAATAACAAATTTTATTAGTTTACAAAACTGTACATACACTTAACTACATCTTGTACAGGTAACATTCTGGTATTCATGGTTACATTATATGAACCTTTCGTGCTTTTGCTGCTGCAAATGCATCAATTAAACTATCAAAATTTAAGGTATTAAGTATGTCTTTTTCAATACTTAATATTGCCAAGTTACTAAGTCATTCTTGAGTCATTGAGGTTCTCAAGTATGTAAGAATTAATTTCAGCTTGCTGACGGACCTTTCACAGCTAGCAATAGAAACTCCAATTGTCAACAAAATCTTCAATGCAATTCTT